AGCCCTCATTCTACACAAAGGGGGCTCAAGTGAAGAGAGAGAAGAAGAAGAGGAGAAAGGGGAAAAGGAGATTCCTCACCTCCTCGACCACCGCCGGAGCTCTTCCTGTCGCTTGAAGACGCCGGAACTCTGCCGGATTTTCAGGAAACGCAGGAATTCTGCACAACTTCCACGTGATGCTGAAATCCTTCCCAATTAACAACAGAGTTCCCTCCTGACGCCGAAACTCCGCCGGTAATAAGTGATTTTCCTGTAGGAATTCTCCTCTGCCACCAAAGACGTCGGACTTCTACCCGACGTCGGACCTTCACTCTTCGCCAAGTTTCTACCCGACACCAGACTTCTACCTGTTATCGGACTTCGCTGGACGTCTATGCGAAGATGCATTTCTTTCCATTGCTGGACTTCCACCTGACGATGCCCTACTGATCTTCGTCGTCAGACTACAGTCCTTCCGACCTCCGTCGCCAGCCGACTACGGTCGTCCTGACTTACGTCGCCCGCCGACTACAGTCTTTCCGACATCCGTCGCCCGTTGAATACGGTCTTCCTGACTTATGTCGCCCGCTGACTATAGTCTTTTCCGACCTCCGTTGCCCGCCGACTACGGTCCTCCTGACTTACGTCGCCCGCCAACTACAGTCCTCCGTCGCCAGCTGACTACGGTCCTCCTGACCTACGTCGCCCGTCGACTGCAGTCCTTCTAACAAAGCGAATACATCGACAGTAGCTCTTTGTATTTACATCATGTAATGTACTCCATAAGATGTACATCAAGCTAAGGCCTTCTCCCAAGGAAGGGCCTCATTTGTAATCTACTGCAAATATTAGTGGATTCGTTCAAACTGGGCTAGGCCCCGTGGTTTTTCCCTCTTTTACAGGGGTTTTTCACGTAAAAATCTTGGTGTCTCATAAATGCTAGACCCTCTCTCCTTATCTGATTGCGTGCCGGATTTTCGTACAATGCTAAGACGTTAAATATGATATTTCTCTACCGCCGCGAATACTCCTGAACGCAACAATATTTATATTAAAATAAGTAAAATAATTTAAAAATCTAAACAGAATATCCTCATAAATTCTTTTTTCCTTTATCAATATGAAGCTTTGCTGAGATTGCTTGAATTGGAAACAAAGACTTTCTGGGAAGGAGAGCTTAGGGTTAATTAATTAGAAGGGATGCATGTGTAGAGCCCTTATCATTAAGTTAATTACATACTAAAAATGATTCATTAAGGGGTTAAAAGAATTATTTATACCAAAAAATAATCTTTATTGATTTTGATCCGGCTACTAAATTCAACCACAGGTGATTGAAATTGATAGTAATGAACTTACACTATATGAGAAAAAAAATTTATACGAATGCATAATTTGAACACACAAATAAAGGATAAGCAAAACAATAATGCGCTTAAAACTGAGGTTTTGTTTGGGATGGATTTGTTACTGTTTCTTAAAACAGCTTTCTAGTTAAAAATTTTTAATTTGTATACTTGAAAGCTGCTTTAAGAAGTAATAAAAAAATCATCTCAAACACAACTTGTATCTTGAATCCCTTAAAGAAAGTTACACCTCTTCAACCAAGCCAACAATGGCTTAAAAGGCTTCACCAAGCAACCACGCTTGTATCCGACTCGACTCAACCCAACCCGCCTTCGAGTTCGATCGGCTTCATGTTGATCAGAAGAAATGGAGAAGCATGAGCTTTGTAATGCCGGCGGAGGGCTAAGCGGCGGAATATTGACTTCGCTCGCCGGCGGACATTTAGGCTTTCCAGGCTTTGATTCCCACTCAAATGGAACCTGACCACATTCCCTACAATACAACCTTGAGGAAGAACAAGAAAGCACAGAGTCCCTAGAAAGAAGCTTTGCCAGGAATTGATCATCTCCACCTGATGAGGGTGACTCTATACACAAACTGAAAGAATTATTCTCATTCTGATCAGGCTCAGATGCTCTTACAGCTTTCCTCACCTTCATCATATCGATCATGAACAATCAGTTCAATCATACAGCTTTGTGGGATGGAAACCCTAAATCTTGTTCATATATAAAGAGTTCAGATCAGTGTACAGAAGAAAGAGACTGCAACAGCTTTGATATTGGTGAGGAAAAAGGAAAGCTATGATGGAGACTTCATTGGTTTCTTTAATCCTAAGGCTAATTAAGTCACTGATGTGGAATGTTGGGCTAAATTTATTGTGAGAAGAGAATATGCTGAAGATGTTAAAGAGGTTTTTTCCTATAATCTGCAAGCTAATTCATGTCATGGCGAGCTTAACAATCAAAGATGAATTGATGGAGAAAGAGAGAGGATTGGGTGATAAGCAAGTTTTGTTCCAGTTTAAGCAAAATTTCTTCTTCAGCTACAGTTTGATTTGTTGCTGATAATCTAAATTAAGTGCATTGCTTAGCTCAGTGGGTAACACAATTGATCTGAATAGTACTGTAAAACCCTAAAACTCATCTGTATTAAATTGCATCATAAATTGCGTAGTATTCCTTTATTTCAAAGTTGCGTCAATTAGCATCTAAGTGAGCAGTTTTTTTTTTTCTTTTTTTCTTGGATTTATTGGCTAAAAATTTTAAAATCAGAAGAAAAAAATTGTATATATATATATTACTAGGGCATTGTTGAGTCTTGCAAGGATCTCACACCATTTTTCTTTTCGCAATTTTTTTGAGAATTATCTCATCATCTTGATCATGGTATCAACTTCATCCCAAATTATAAACTTTAAATCATTTAGCTCTGGAGGAAAATCCACAAGATGGATCTTAACCCTTTCATTTTAGAAAGGTTTTCATAATTTGAGACAGCTAAAAACAATTTCTTCCATTCAAGCAATATGAGGCTTATAGCCCTTAGACTTCTCGTAAAACCATATTTCGCTTGATTCATTAAATCAACGAGCTCATAAAAATTAATCAATTTCAAACTAATTATGCACTCATATATGATTAACACATACAGAGCTTTTTTTACGAGAATTTATTCCATGCAGAGACCAGATACAGAGAACCGCCTGCTTTGTCTGCTTTATCTCTGTAAACAGTAAAACTACGATCATTATGCTTTTACTGTTCACAGAGATAAAACTAAACGGTTCTCAATGTCTAATCTCTGCACATAATAATTTCTTTTCTTTGACAGCCGTAGGAGCCATACCTGAGAAAGTTGTAGATAGCCGGCACAAATCCCAAATCTTAAATCTATTAGGTTGCAAAAAACACCCAACTTGATGTGCCTAAACAGTCCACAGATTCAGATTGCATTATTGTGATAAGAAAATGATGGAGATAAGGTAAGGTGAGCTCCAGAATCAACAAAGCTTTAGTTAGATACAAATTGAAAGATATTATTGCTATAAATTCTGATAACATTTAGATTACAGCTACACGATTTGAGGGACGATATATTTCAGATGTTCTTTTTCAGTGAGCTTCAAGTTTTGAAGCCTTTTAATTAGAAGAAACTTGCCTTCTGGAAACAGCAGATTAGTTCTGAAAGCAATTGCAATGGTGGATGGTGAGATGAAACTTCTCGTGCCACTTGTTTCGTATGTATAGAAATGACCTTAGGGATATTTGGAAGAGCATAAAAAAAGCTTCAATTACCAATAAAATGGCGTGCTTTAGTCTGCCACAGGTCAATAGCAACTATATCAGGTGAAGAATATGAGTATTCAGTAATGGAGAAAATGAAAGAAATGTCTACAAAAAAGCTTCAGCACATAAATGAGGCAAAAATAGTTTCTTGAGTGAGACATCAGATCGATTACATGTCAGATATCATATTCTGAGTACTTAGTGGAATGATATAAAGAAGGCCTGAGAGAAAATGGTGAAGTATTTATTTGATACAGGCATGATAATGCAGAATAAAACGCTTATTTTCAACAAAGTAAACAAGATACGAGGTTAAGGTTTCGTTTGGGACGGCTTTCTTATTGCTTCTTAAACCAGCTTTTTAGTACAAAAAATTTACTGAAAGATGCTTCAAGAAGCGGTAAAAAAAGCTGTCCCAAACAAAACCTAAACCTCCATAATGAAATATTAATTCAGAAAATATGACAAGCACCTGATGAGGCAGATTTGCAATGAAAAGATGTTTGGTTTTAATAGAAAAAACGATACTGCAGGGTATGATAAATAAATGAATTATTGTGCGTGTAAATGAAAATGCATTGATTGAGAGAATGGACCACTTCAGACAAAAGAAAGGTGTCCCTGGGTGTCTGGAAGCACAAGTCAATCAGATTTTTACTTGTTTCTTTCCTTCTTTTGTAAATAAATCCATTAATATTTTAACCTCAAAGAATGAACCCTCCCTCCATTGCTTAACTTTTTAATAAAAAAATACACTTGACAATTTATTTCGTTTGAAATTTAGTAGTAATGACAGTTAATACAATGGAAAGATCAATCCAAGCAAACCATCACATAATTGCAAAGCGCCAAAATTTAATCTAAGTTTCTAGGCAATTTGACAATCATGTAAAATCTTCCATAATCTTCGATTAATGTAGCTCATAACCCTACACAGTAAATTCCTTAGTCTTAAACAGATATGTCCGACAACAGATAACAGAAACTATATGATAAATGAACAGACTATATAATACAACAAAGAAAATCCTTGTTAGAGTGAAAAAGAATCTTTACATCATTTAATTTTAAAACCGTGATATATTGAGGACAGAATGCACCCAAAATAAGAAACTTCCTTTCAGGACTCCAGAATTATTTTATAATAAATCATCCATGTACTTGAGATGCATATGGAATTGGGCGCCTTACCCTTACGTGTGAGGTATTTAAAACCCCAAGAGTGATCACCAGACATCTCTCAGATACCTTCCTTGCATTTGCAGGTTCTTCACCAGGCTTTCAGTCTTCGAGCTATCTAGAGAACCCTGCAATAGAACAAACAGAGTAAAACTTATCCAACGACTATTATCAGATCTTCAGAATATTAAGTTGATACAGAAAAAACTTCATTACTTGAGGCAAGCTGCAAACATTAAACATGTTACCCAGTTATTCAAATTAACCCATAATTATGTTCCATGTTTTCCAAGCCCACAATTTTGTTTATATCTTCAACCACAAATAAGAAGGAAAATAAATATAAGCATGTTATTTAATCTGATCCATTACTAGGTCCCATGTTTCCAAGCCCATAAATAAGTTTATATCTTCAAACACAAATTAAGAGAGACAAATATAACCTTGTAGTCAATCTGATCCCTAATTAGGCGGTCCTATGAGTTGGGAGGTTCTTTACCTGTTCCTGGACTATGTTATGAATAGTGCGGTGGACATCTTTAGCCATGCCTTTGGCATCACCACACACATAGATGTAACCACCATTAGAGATAATATCCCAAATTTCAGATGCCTGATAAAAAGCAACGTACTATCAGGGATTCAAGTAATATAAGATTAAAAAGAGGTATATAACTTAAAAATATATAAGTCAGGGAAAGGAACAAAAAATAGCAGAAATTTACTAGACCTTTTCGACCATTTTATGCTGCACATATTCCTTGGTTGCTCCCTCTCGAGAGAAAGCTACAATAAACTCAGAAACCACTCCAGCTTCAACAAAACTTTTCAGCTCATCTTCATAGATGAAATCCTACAAAATTGTCAAACAAAAACATTGCTTTCTGATCACCGCAAGTAAAGCTAAAAAAAATGAAACTTCAGAGGATTGATTTAACACCATTTTCCGATTCCTGCATCCAAAGAAGAGTATAGCAGGCCCAAGTACAGCACCAGACTCTTTTAGCGCCAACCGCTCCTAAAAATGCCAGCAGAAAATAATGAAATAATTGTCACAGCAGAGTATAATAATATGAAAACTGAAGTTCACAACAAACCTGCAAGAATCCCCTGAATGGCGCCAACCCTGTTCCAGGTCCAATCATGATAATTGGCACAGAGTTGTCTGCAGGCAGTTTAAAATTTGACTGCCGCACAAAAATAGGAGCCCAGCTACACTCTTCGCTTTCCTCCAATGGTATTGAATTCTTGAAGGAAGAAAATTCCAAATCAAAGATTCACATTGAATGTTACCCAAATTATTAAATAATATAGTGAAATCAATATATAAGGTAGAACTATTTACATCACTTTAAATATAGCATAAAAGAAACATTGAAATACCTACAACATTTATATATGTTCAAGCTTTAAGATCATATATAATACAAGAAAAAGCTGCACAAGAGTTCTATCCAAAAATTTATACAACCCTGATTTCATAATATCATAATGAAAAACAAAACTAGTTGGGTTCCACAAAGCCATAAGGGGCAGTGTGGTTTGATTGGTGATCCAGGAATGGATAATGGTGATGACATAGACTTCGCAGTCAACCCAGCTGCTTTCTTTTTTCTTTAATTGTAACAAAGGTACAAAGACCATAGCAAAATTGCTGTCCAGCTGTAGTTTTGGAAGTAAAAAAAAAAAAAATTACACCATAAACAAAAAGCAATAGGCTAAGTTAAAATATAATTTTAGAAAATTATTAGGTAAAAAAGCATCTTACCAGATTGTGCGTAAGCGAACAATGATTGAGCTGTGAAGCAAATGCATTGTAAAGCAAATGAAAACAACAACATCAAACTTTTACCCCACAACGTGGGGTCGGCTACATGAATCCATTTTCTCCTTTGTATCGTGTTAAAATTCAAATTCTCATTTAAATCTAATAAAAAAAATCATTTCTAATACTTTTTAACTAAGTCTTTTTATGTCTACCTCTACCTTTCTTAACATAAGTTAAATCTAAAACATCAACTCTCCTAGCCTAGTCATCGAAAGGCCGATGTTTTATATGACAAAATCATCTAAGGAGACTCTCTAATCTTATCTACCACTGGAGCTACTCTAACCTTTTCATGTATATACTCGTTTCACATTTTGCCTCTAAGAGTTAAGTCACACATCCACCTGAGCATCCTCATCTCTCCAACACTTAACTTAATTTTATGCTTCTCTTTTAATGACCAATATTTCTGCACCATAAAGCATTGCAGGCCTCGCCACGATCATATATAATTTTCCCGTAAGTTTGAGGGGTACTTTTTTGTCACACAACAGGCCCGATGCATTCCACTTCAATCATCTAACTTGAATTCTACTAATAATATCCCCCTCTATTTCACCATCACTTTGAACAATAGCCCCGAGATATCTAAAACAAGTACTCTTTTTAATGACTTGATCGCCCAAAGTCACAATCCCTCACTAGATCTATTATTACTAAAATTATACTCCATGTATTCTATTTTAGATCTACTCAAACCAAAACCTTTAGACTCCAAGATTAACCTCCAAAATTCAAATTTTCCTTCAACTCCCTCTCTAGTCTTATCAACAAGAAGAATAACATCAACAAAAAAGTATACGCCAAGGTACATCCTCCTGCAAATATTTAGTAAGAACATTCATGAATAAAGTTAAATAAATCCATTAATAATGAAAAAAACATTCACGACTAAACCAAAAAAGATATGGGCTTAAAACTAATCATTGATGTAATCCAACTGAAATAGGAAAATATTTGGTCAAACCAGCATTTGTTGGAACACAAGTGACAACTCTCACATACATACCTTAATGACTTGAATAGAAGCATTATTAACTCATTTCTTTTTTAGAACCTTCAAGAGCACTGCACTTGGAACTTTATCATACGGTTTCTCTAAATCAATAAATATTATATGAAAATCCTCCTTATTCTTTCTATACTTCTCCATCAAACCTCTCTATAAATGGGTAACTTCCGTAATAGACCTACCCGGCATGAATCCAATTTGATTTGGAGAATTATTAGTATCAAGTCGTAACTTATGCTCAATAACTCTCTCCCACAATTTTAATGTATACTACATTAACTTAATTCCTTTATAATTTGCACTCTCTTCTGCATCACCTTTATTCTTAAAAATATGAACCAATACACTCTTCCATTCATCAGGCATCTTTTTAGACTTCAAAATAATTTTAAAAAGTTTTATAAGCCAAGAAATTCCTTCATCTCTTTAGCATTTTCACAACTCTATTAGTGGAAGATACGATGATAAAAACCTCTCTAATTTTCAGTTTTACTAATACGATGATAAAAATAAAAATCTCTATTTTCATTTAGGGCGCTAAGGTCACTAAAATTAATCATATTCTCACATTCTTCAATGAAAAACTTATCGAAATATCTCGTCCACCTATCTTAAATATTCTCTTCTAATAAAAACACATTTTGATATTAATCCTCATTACAATTCACTAAACAAATTCACCTAACATTCTCATATATATATATATATATATGTGTGTGTGTGTGTGTGTGCGCGTGCGCGCGCGCGCGCGCGTGTGTGTGAAGGGAAAAAATAGACACCAAGCTAAGGACGCTACCAAGAGTTTACAGATGCAGAAAATAGTCCAAAGGTGGGATGTTATGCAAAGAACAAAACAACATAATGGAAAATGGCAATCAATAGGAGTTTACTAAAATGTCAAGAATCTCTATAACAACTTTAGAGATGAGAACAAAATGTTAAATTCCATGTAAACCTACAAACAAGATTAGCATTCCTGATCTAACTCCTCAACATACATAAAATGAGCATGGAAAGTAAAATCTAACAGATGCGCCACTTACATCTCTATACAACAACAACATCAAACTTTTATTTCAATATGTGGGGTCGATTACATAAATACTTTTTCTCCATTGTGTCCTATTAAAAGTCATATTCTCATTTAAATATAATAAATAAATATCATTTCTAATATTTTCTAACCAAATCTTTTTAGGTCTACTTCCACCTTTCTTAACATGAGCAAATCTAAACATCTACTCTCCTAATCGGGTCATAAGAAGGCCGACATTTTATGTTATCAAACTATTCAACGCAACTCTCTCTAATATTATCTACCACAAAAGCAACTCGAACCTTTTCATGTATATACTCGTTTCACATTCTGCCTCTAATAGTGAAGCCACTCATCCATCTGCGCATCCTCATCCCTGCAACACTTAACCTGATTTTATGTTTTCTCTTTTAATGGCCAACATTCTGCACCATAAAGCATTGCAGGTTTCACCATCATATTCTAGAGTTTTCGCTTAAGTTTGAGTAGTACTTTCCTGTAACACAACAGGCCCGATGCACTCCACTTCAACCATCCAACTTGAATTATACTAATAATGTCCCAATTTATTTCACCATCACTTTGAACAATAGACCTGAAATATCTAAAATGTGTACCCTTTTTAATGCTTGATCGCCCAAAGTCACAATCCTACTCAAACAAATACCTTTAGAGTCTAAGGTTGACCTACAAAATTCAAGTTTTCCTTCAACACACACACTCTCTCTCTCTCTAGTCTTCAAGAAGAATACCATCAGCAAAAACAATACACAAGAGTACACCCTTCTTGCAAATGTCTAATACAAACATCCATGACTAAAGCAAAAAATATGGGCTTAAAACATGTGGGCATGAACTCCAGCAATGACAGAATAAGAATTTAAAGGGGACAAATGGATTAACTCCCGGAATTGTGTTATGAAAGAAATTTCCATACCATATATGGAAATATGAGGATTTATTTCAAACATGAAGAGGCGAGAGCCACCCTCAACAACCAATAACTGCCAGAGAAATTGATTGTTTTAGCATGATAGAATGGATTGTGTCTGTGAGAGTGTATGTGTGCAAGTATGGTGGGACTGGGTGATTAGTTTCTTCTGGAAAAATATATTTGTCAAGGAAAAATAGAGGAAAAAGTAGAGGAATGAAGATGAGATCGAGAGAGATAGTTAGAGAGATAAAAGTGACTGTAATGCTTCACAAAAAGAACATAACAAATTCTAAAGACATTGCTTTGATCGCTTTAGATGTTACCACCAAATAAGTTACAAGTTTTGGATAAAGAGAAAAGACCAAAATGGCCCCTCAACTCTTTAGGAGGGGCCAAAATGGATCCCAACTATTTTAAGGGATTATTTTAGTCTCTCAACTCTTTAAAATGAGATCATTTTGATCCCATCGTTAAAAAAATAATAGAAAAATTAAGTGCAGTTCGAATGACAGAAAGTTTGCGAAGGATATAATTAAAATAAAGTTTGCATCAAAAACCAGCAATGAAATCCTCCAGCACCTTCGACTACGCTTGAATTAACCTTCCAGCTTTTGCCCACAGCTTATACCCTTAGCACCTTCAACCCCACACTTGAATTCTCCTTCGAACCTCCACCCTTAGCTTCGACCCGCATTAGAATCTGACTCGATCATGCAATCGATCCCGCAGCGCAGCGCAGACGAATCCGACTATATCACACAATCAATCCACATAATCGACGAATCCGAATGTTGATCTCTAGTGCCAATCCCGCAGCCCAATCGAGTCCCAATGTCAATCCCGCAGCGTAAACGAATCCAAGCGTCGATCCCACAGCGACATTGAATTTAAATTAAAAAAATTACATCTAATAAATAATTTTTAAAAAAATTTACTTAAAATTTATATCTAATAAATAATAAATTAAAATATTACTAAAATACTCCTAATTTTAACGCCATAAAATTCAACATCACTTAATTTGGATGTTGGAACCAAAATGATCTCATTCTAAAGAGTTGAGAGACTAAAATGGTCCCTCAAAATAGTTGGGAGCCATTTTGGTCCCTCCTAAAGAGTTGAGGGACCATTTTGGTCCTTTTCTCTTTAGATAAATATAAAGAAAGTGTATGAAAAGGCAAGAATATAATGTTTTTACCAGAAAATAAAGCAGTCAAAGAAATTAAAGGCAAATAGGGCAGGAAGGAAAATATTTTATGGCTGCAAGAGGATTTAAAATTGTTAAGAAAAAATAACCTGCACCAAGCAAGACAGCATTACACATTCATAAATCAGATACATTTAAATGCCAAAAGTTGATGGTTATAAATTTATAGAAAGATGCTCAAAAACCTGTTTCATTACTACCAAAAAAAAATGTAAAAGAAATGCTCATTCACTCAAATTAAATAAAAAGTTTAATTTGCACATCAGTTACCAAATCTAGCAGTAATTTAAAAAAATAATAAGAAGATACATTTACACAAGTCAATAACAAAATATTTAAAAAATCACAAAATAGTATTGATAACGACTTTGAAATAAGAATCCATTCATCATCATCAACATCAGCATAAATCTTATCCCAGTTTACAGTTTAAGAAAAATTAAAGGAATCTTTATATGATGTGAGATGCGCATGGACAAATCAATTGTTGTCATATAAATGAATAAATGATGAAGCACACAAGAAATAAGGTTTAATTTGCAATAAAAATTTTATTTTGCACATCAGCTACCAAAGCACACAATTTTTGTCATATAAATCAATTGTTCAAAAAAAAAGTTTAATTTGCACATCAGGTACAAAATCTATAGTGACTTCGAAATGAACAAGAAATGGATACATTTACACAAGTCAATACAAAATCTTTAAAAAATCACAAAAAAGTATTGATAACAACTTTAAAATAAGAATCCACTCCTCCTCCTCATCATCAAAATCAGCATAAATGTTATCCCAGTTATTTAACAGTTCAAGAAAATTTAAAGGAATCCTTAGTGAGGTGAGATGAACATGGACAAATCATTTGCTGTCATATAAATGGATTTTTTTTTCTTTTTTACTGTCATATAAATGGATGAATAATGAAGCACACAAGAAATAGGGTTTAGATTTATTTCAAATATTTTTCTAAATCATAATTTTATTGAAATTGCTTCTAATTATCTTTAGGATAATATTTTGTTTGAATTTGAATAATTTACAATTTGATAGGATTAGAATTGAATTTCAGTTTGATGTAAAATTATTTTGTAAAGTATTTCTATAAATAGGGCATTCACAGCTTGTATTAGCAGTGCACTTGAATGGTGAACGAAGATTGTATTTTCTTCTACATTTCTTTTCTCTCCCTCGCTTGTGTCTCACTCTCCTAAAATCTAATTCTCCTTCTCACTACTCAACATCAACTGATATCAAAGTAGAACACGCATCATCTATTCTATTGATATGTTCTTTCAATTATTCTCTCAACAACATACACAATCATGTTATCCACCATTGACTCATTTTGCACCTTGATAGTGAATTCATTCGCCCCCAATCCAATCACATCACCCTCGTTGTCCACCTACAGCACAACCCAACTGAACACCTTCCACCACAATCACGGTCATTCAATCCACTCATGTAGATCCATCGCACATAACTTTACAATTCACTTTACATCCCACATGCTTTGTGCTTCATGAATCTTCATAGTTCACTACAGATATAAATTAAAGAGTTCAATCCCTCGACACTCGGCATACTACCCAATCCCGCATCTCACACACAGAAGTCACCGATCCCACCTAAGCCACTTGTGATCTCAACGCTTATGTCTACACTACACTTGGAAGTGACATAGCATGACCCCTATGTCACCACACCTGCAACAAGTCATTTCACCCTAAAATGAATTTTCGGGTTAGGTTCGGGTCCAACCCGAAACTAACCCGCCTTCAATTGACTCGACCCGATTAGAAAAATAAGCCAGAAATCCGACCCGACCAAACCCGCAAGGCAGCAAGGCGCAAGCACTTACAGGTGATGGGAGCTAAAGCTGGTGAGGGGGCAAGCCTACGTGCGCGGCTGCAAGGGAGAACACGTGTGGGAGAGTCTACGAGCGAGGGGGCGAGCGCATGCGGGCGTGGGCCTGGGCACAGATGCGACACTGGCGCTAGCGCAGGTGCAGGCGGGGGGTGGCCCGGGACATTTTTGAGTTGATTTCGAGTTTTCAGGTTAACCCGAACCTGACCCGAAATTGAAAACAGGTCAAAAACGAAACCCGAACCCAACCCATTTGCGAAACGGGTTGACCCGAACCTGAGTCAGGTTTCATGTTGGGTATGGGTTGGGTTTCGAGTTGGGTCAAATATTGACACCCATAACACCAAAGCATTAGCCTTGGTGCCGCCTTAGTGATGGTGCCAACCTAGAGAGATCTGAGATATTGGAGCCACGCTCAGACGCCTAAGCGAGTGTTCGACTTGCCTTTCATAAAACTGCATAGAAGTAGTAGCAAACCTTCCTGTATTCATAAGGCACACAAGTGATGCAAAAACAGGCCGCCAACCATAAGCCAGTTTAAGGTCAAATTGATGAGGATTCATGCACTTTTCTAGCTTTTACGCTCACAGCTCACCTCATGATAGCAGTAGCAAGCAGATGATTTAGGGATCAAAAAGTTCCATATTATCATATCGAGAAAAAACATCAGTAAAATCTTAACAAATGAGTGGTGAGTCACATTGACTATGAGGCCATAAGAGTTGATCAAAATGAGACAACCTCAGCAAACCCAAAGGCTATATACATTAAATAATGTAATATAGAGAAAAAAAATGATACATCTAACCTGCAATTAGAGACGTAATATAACAGAGTACAAACATTTCAAAATAGTACCTTCATCCAAGTCGAACAAACTCCTTTATGGATCCTTCCTGTAGGCGTTGGTCCATACACGACGGCAGATGTCACATGGATTCTCGTTGGAAACATCCTGCATAACATAAAATGATGAATTTGCTGATCAAACAAACTGTAATCCAATAGTTACTCCAAAGGAAGACATGATACGAACCTTGAAGAAGATGATATTGAATAAAAGCGATGCTGCAGCCGTGGAGCAATTGCTGCGAAGAAAACACCAAGAGGTGGCTTGGCTGAAGGAAATTCAGCCATAACTTCCAAGAGGCTCCTATGACTAGCAATTACCCACTGAGAATATTCATCCTGGAAAGAAGGAATTGAGTTGCGAATGGAGATCTCATTACCGAAACTAAGTATGCCAGAGTACAGATAATACCAACCTTTCCAGAAGGAGAAGCCAGAAATCTTAAACGTTCGGCTTCATTTGGGTCAGATGCATGAGCAGCTAAAGCAGATAAGGAAGCCTGAGCATAGATCATTAATACATAAATAAACAAATCATTAATTCCAAAACTGTGAAATTATCAAGATAAATGGTTCTTCATAAGAACATACCTTTTTGGGTGAACTCAAAAGGTCAGCATATCGAGTCAGTGCAGTTCTCAAGGTGCAAGGAGAAGGGAATGGAGGAGCAAGAGCACCACCGCTGAGTGGTGTCCCATCTTCTTTGTCAGCGTGAATGGAGAAGAATGTATCTGATGAATAACCTAATAGCTTTTCTGCTTCCTCCACAGTCTCCAAACAATTTTCAGCATATACACCAACATGATCTCCTGTTTCATACCTGATTTTCAAAAAGAATCTGAAGATGAGAAGACATAAAACAACCTGGGCAAAGAAGTTCTATAATCTTGAGTTTTCTGGTGTTCACATGGAAAGGTTAATCATTTCTATCAAAAAATGAATTTATTCTGCACAAATAAAGTCACAAGAAAATTTAAAATCCTGTTGCCCGTTGGATGCTAGGCATAACTAGATTACAAACTGGGTCACCATTTCTGATTACAAGGGGAAAAATTGCAACAGGATTAGTTTTATGATAATAAGGTCAAGAGGATTTGCAGCCACAAGTATTGCCTCCACGATATAAATGCAAATGCAGATCATGGGAATATAGTACAATAAAATAAAAGTGTTTGATTTTAGTTTCTAATGCATAAGCTGGTGCAGTGCTTCCTGGGCCAACAACTGGAAGAGTACTTGTATAACTGGCCATTAAGTATAAGAAGACGAGCAAAAGTACATACACAAGACCAGTGCCAGCTATGTCGAACTCCAGATGAATGCAAGAACGATCAGAAGCTGGAGTATGAAGTTCCCGTTTTAGGGCCACATTTGCCCTGCATGAAAGAATCACTTGGCATGAATGTTGTTCCTTCAATAACTGAACACCTAGCTAGTTCCCCTGATAGTTCAGCACAAAATGAGTTCGCCAATACCTGCAGGGATGGTTTATGTCATAGACAGCACCACCGTTTGCAAGATTCCAACTCTTCTCTGTATATGATGCCTCTGCAAAATCAATGAATTCAACACGATACTCAGGCACTACAACAGTATAAGTCCCGCCGGCTATATCATCTTCGTCACGGAGCAGCTGATCCAACTCTGGCCAGAGCTGTTCTTTCCTGAAAACACAATGCATAACAATAAAAATAGAAGAGTTCCAAAAACAATTAAAAGCTGCTGATAAGCTGCTTTAAAGGATAGTAAATTCAAAATTATTCCTATAATATTAATCAACTTAAAGCCCTCTGCTACACAATAGCAACATACCATGCGGTGAAATCATCCTCAATGCATTGATCATCATCTCCAAGGCCAACTGGAACAAGACGTTTACCACCTACATGAACAAATACAACGAGAATCACAGCAATGAACTAGTAAATTAGACATAAAACAGTTATCATAAGACATAAATTGAAATGATAACAATGCTACAAAGAATCAAACTGTTTAGTTTTTACCAAAGTTATATAATAATAAGGGGCAAACAATGAACTTGTTTCATAGGTTGCCTTAATAGCCGCCACAAGAATAGCAGGCCAAATTTTAAGAGAACAGATATGAGCAAAGAACCAAGATATGAACAACAGTGTTGAGAACTTCAACGATAACAACCAGAAAGAACAAGTATAATAACCTATAAACACACCAATAATTAACTTTTGCCAACAGGTTTTTACTACAACTTCTAATAAAACACCTCATATCAACCATCTAAAAAATAGGCTATATGAAATATATGTAATAGTCCAAGAAGAAAAATGAAACTAAGCACATTTTGAAGACTAAGCTTAAAATACATGGATGAAATATGCAGCGTTTAAATTGTGTTAGGTGCACCTCAACTCAATATTTGTGAGGCATGAGCCCCACGAAATGAAATTCAGCACATTTTGAGGAATAAGATAGCTTAAAATACACATACATTGTTTAAAATTGTGCAATTTTTTTTTAAAGCCTTGAGGCTTATGCCTCAAGGATGAAATATGAGGCGTCTGCCTCAAATTATGTCAGGTGCACCTCACCTCAATATCTGTGAGGCACAAACCCAAAAAAAAAAATTAGGGTTTAGTTTTTCTTTAAGCCCAATTTCTAATTAACCCCCACCCCTCTTCTATCTCTCAATTTCAATTTCATGCAAAGAGCATGTCTCGCATGTTCTAGCAGTTGAACCCTTCCTTGCCACTGATGGCCGCCTCTTTCCATACTGCCCAAGTCTTTGACAAGGGTTAAGTGTCTAGTCTCTTCTCCACAAAATCACTTCTTGTCGATAATCCTAGTTTTTCTCTTGGGGTATCCTAAATCTAAATTTTTTTTAAGGATTTTTCCCTTCGTAATTAATTGCAAATTCCTTTTTTTCAAATAAAAAATTTTTTATAAGTATTTTTTCTATAATGGAATGAGGCAAGAAAAAAAAGTGCAATGAGATGTAGAAAGGATCTAGCATGAAACATAATGCAAGTCAACAATAGTGGGAATGAGAAAAAATGATAGCACAAAAAATGTTGTATTGTTGTTTTCTTAGGAAAAGAAGGCACTTATGGCATGAAACCCACTTCCAAAGCTTTATTCCTTGAGGCAGATTGAATTTTTAATCAACCAGATTTCCCCTGATAATTATATCGGGTTTATTTAGTTCTGAGTTTCTACTTCCTATGAGCGTAAGCCCCATAGTTAACTACCACCCCTACTATCGCGTAGAAGAGAACTCTCGATTAAAGATAAATTAATTTTAGATGTGCAAGTGTTTTAACCTTGGTTGTGGGGGATGGAGGTAGACCCAATCAAGATCCCATGGTTCCTTCATCCCGGAAATACCGTAGGTTTCAGTCTACCAACACTAATAATCATTGATCGTAGTGTCTGAAAAATCTAATTAACAGTCATGAATTGCCTCCTCTCAAGAATCCTAAGCAAATTGAAGTAGTTAAATGTGGGTTTTGTGTTATGGTGGTTTGATTTGGATCGAGACTTACAGCTCCGCTTAGGGTTTCCTGGAGTTTTAGGTTTAGGTCGGGGCTTATGGCTTCGTTTAGGAGTTACCCGTATTTTAGGTTTAAGTCAAGGCTTACAGCTCCGTTTAGAAGTTGCCCGTATGTTTTGGTAAGTCTTACGACTTCTACATTATAAGTAGCATGTATGTTTGGGTAGGTATTACGGTTTCTACAATAGAAGTAGCCTATATGTTTGAGGTCTAACGGCTTCTACATTAGAAATGAGTTATGAGAGGTTTCATTTAGGTTAGGGTCTTAATTTTATGTGATTTTTTTAAAAATAAAAAGGATAAAAGGTGTCCTTTTGCTAGTAGAGGATGAGGTACTATAGTACCCAAAAAAATCATTTTTTAACTATTATTTTTTAAACAATTTTTAATATTAAAAAATACTAAAATTTAAACCTTGTACACTTGTAATCATTGACCTCATGAAATAAAACTTAACATATGGCGGACAACAAAGCTATTTGTTCTCTTTGTAAACATCTCCAACATCTACTTATTATAATAGACACCAGCTATGTCAAAAGCTAAATGATTTAAGAAGACCTGATTGCAAGCTCAAAGTAACTGAAACGTTACATATGGCATCCCATTGTATGTATAAGACACTAAGAACGCAAAATAAATCAAAAAAATTTTGTCTAGGTGAATCCATGGGAGCAACAGTTTCATCCCACGAAATTTGCACCGATATATATAAAACAATACTTATTGATAGCTCAAAACAATGGGAAAATTCATAGTTAAATACCTTGCTCAGCTAGGATGTCATCCACAACCTTTGCTACCTGTGTAATCAAGTCAACATAGATAAATATGTTACCTTCAAATTTTACTTTAAAATAGGGAAGAAAGCATAAAAGCTTGTAATCTAACATAACCTTATTGAAGTGTTCATACTGCCTATTGCCCAGCCCAAATATGGCGTATGTAAGATTATCTAGCCAAATGCCCCTCTCTTTACCCTAAAAATGTAGCAGTAATCAAATAATCAACCTTTATCAGAATATACCAATAGGAAAAAGATAAATTGAACAAAAACCTTACCTCAGTAAACCATTTATAAAACCTTGCAGCATTGTCAGTCGGTTCTCCATCTCCATACCTAGAGATACAGCTGAGCTTTAGCTGAAGGAACGACTCTGAATATTGAAAAAATGAAAAGCTCAAACATTCAGCTCACGTTGCCATGAAGAACAAAACTAGAGTTTCCTTCTTCATCTTCTCCTCATACTCATCGTCATCAGCGGCATATTCGTCCTGACGAGAATCGAAAACACATATAATCAACGCCAAATAGCCGACAAATCAACCAAGCAACAAAACAAATAAAAAAAGAACATTTTTACCAGATCAACAACTTTAAACTTAGCTTTATCGTACCGGGCCTTGGCTTCCTCCGCCAACGACTGTAAAAGCAGTCTCTCTACTTCATAAAAGCTGACAATAGTCAAAACAAGTACAGCACTGATATCAAAGTCCATACCTTCGCGAATCCCTCGGCAGTACCGGTTTGCGTTCCGAAGAAGACAGTGACCTTCTTCTTCCCGTCATCAATCTCCGGCTCCGAGACCTCCCTCCAAGCCGCCGGCCGCTGTAACTCGGCCTTGGCATGTTGTGACTTCTGACCGGACGATCGGCGCCATAGAAGCAAAGCTACGCAGCCGAAGAGCATCGCCACTGAAGTCGCCAGCAGCACCAGAAGCTCTCGATTCCCAGAAATGGAGTCCTGCACCGCCGTTTCCTCCCCACCCAACCTACCGGCGAGCATCGTGTAAAGCGGATCCAGTGGTGACGTCTTCATCGGCTCCGATTGCATCTCTCCTTCCCTATATCGCCGGAAAGCCGCCTCTCCCAACCTCTCCTCCCCCTCAATGCAGAAGAAGAAGCGAGCAGAGAAGAGTTTGGTGAGAGGGAGGAGGGATCAATTGGCAATTGTTTTAGATACTTGGATCTTAAACGAGGGGCCTCAGGCCCCCAACCTATTGCCGGCCCTGTGGCCACCCTCGTGGCAATTTGTATAGCCAGAAGTGTAGCGGCGGAGCGGAGCCGTCCGATACCCGAGAGCTATTACCCGTTGCTGTAATTTGGTGACATTTTAAAATATCTTTAAAATAAAAATTCATTCTTTTTTAACCCAAATTTGATATAATTTCATTTTTCAGGGAATTTAATCATTTTAAAGCATTTTAAATCATCATTTTATTTAATAAAATTATTTTTAACTTGTAAAAAATTTTAAAAAAATGTTTTAAAAAATAACTTGGGAAATCCACTTTTCAATTTTATCTATCATTTTCATTTGAGTTTCATTTTGGACGGCTTTCTTACTATTTCTTAAAGCAATTTTTTATTACAAAAATTTTCGTACTGAAAAATTACTTTAGAAAGCAATAAGAAAGTAGTCCCAAATGAAGCCTTAGTTATCAAACTTATTAGTTTTAAAAACTTTTTTTTTCATAAAAACTAACCAATTAATCTAACTTCATCTTCAAATATATGCATTAGTGTCAACATATAGAAATCATTGCATAATATACCCTCACATTAATTAGATTATGTTGCCTATAATGCAAGATTGTAACACCCATCTACATAGTTATCTCTTTTTTTAGGTCATAAGATGCTTAGGCAGCCATATTGGTCACATTTATAAGCTCAAGTATTTTAATGAATATGGTATAGTATATAATAGAAGTTCAAGTCCAGTTAAGCTCAAGTCTTAGCAAACTCAAGGTTGACTCGCCTATTACCAAATGGCATGCTAAAACTCGAGCTCGAGCTCAAATTGCAAGCTTGAGCTTGACTTTTTAGAAATGATTATCATTTAAAAAATAGTCCCAAATGATCTCATTTATTAGAAGTTATTATATAGGAGGGGTTGAGAATAATTTATTTTAGATATATTCTTATGATTATCAACCAAAAAAAGTGTAGGATTATGCTTATTGAGTATATCGTATCTAAGCAAGACTGAGTGTAGGCGATTAATACAACTTGTTATGTAAAAAATAAATTGAACGTATGATTGATCCTTAACAAAATATCATATAAACTTCAAATATATATAGATATCGACTTCATGTCTTCGAAGTCACATGTTTTTTATTATAACTGGAGAGGTAGCAATAAAAAATGGGAGTATAACTTAGATAATTTAACTTTAAACCTAAAGAGGTGATTTTTTCTTAGACAATTTGGCTATAGTAGGGATTTTATATTATTTAACAATAAGATCAATATATATTTCTTTTAATGAATATGGTATAGTATATAATAGAAGTTCAAGTCCAGTTAAGCTCAAGTCTTCGCAAACTCAAGGTTGACTCGCCTATTACCAAATGGCATGCTAAAACTCGAGCTCGAGCTCAAATTGCAAGCTTGAGCTTGACTTGCCAAAATATTGATGATCTTGAGCTTAAGTCATGAACTTAAGGATCTCTAAGAAGTGACAGTTGCAATGAGAATTTGCTGGAAAATGAAGATGCATCAAAGTTTATAGCTCAAAATCAAGACAAAAGCTGGTTCGAGAAGGCATCAACATAGCCAGGTGGCCATGGGGGAAGTGACAAGTCATGACAGGAGCTCATTAGAGAAGGCATCAAAGAGAAAACCAAGGTAGGGAAATTTGGGATAGCAGCTCATTGGAGAAGGTGTTAATAGAGCCTAAGGAAGTTGAATGGCAGCTCTCTAGAGTTAGAAGGCAACATCGATTATGAGGGAAGCTAATGAGATGAGCATCGTCAAACTCAAGCTCTAATATACGAGCTATTACTTGAGCTTGAACTTAAGCTTCACTTGTGATATAGGTTTATGAAAAGACAATTGAGACATAACATAGATTATACCCTCCCATAATTGAAAATTGAACGTATGCCAATATTAATCTATTTGGCCTGAGTCGGAGACTAACCGAAGTGGTTGAAGGTTTTTCAATACTGATCGAATGGCAGTGTTGGCTATCAATGATGCCTCAAGTATGCAAATTGAATATAACTTGTAGATATTGACACAACATGTCCAGTGAAGTGATCGATCAAAATTTCAATAATAAATAAAGAAAAAAATAATTTAGAGAAATACTTATTGCTTGAAATTGGGATGATAAAAAAATAACTATAATTCTTGAGATTCACATATGTATTATCAAGGTGTTTATATGGCACAATAGCATAATTTATTAGGTTCAAGATTGATGTGCTATGTCCATCAACTCCTACTATGCTCACCTATGGCATTCATCAGCCTGATTTGTGTCTATTTATTTTCTAATTGCAATGTTGTCTTGTGGACCCCTATCTAACCTACCTTCATAAATTTTTTTTTAATTCTAGATGGAACAGAATGCTTAAATTATTGGATTTAATATATAACTAACAAGAGTGTTTTAATGCTCTCAAACTAAATTTTATGACTATAAAGAAAAATAAATCAATTAGGAGCTCCTCATTAAAAAAAAAATATTAGAGGGGCAATATATTTCTCACAAATAATTGCAATTGTGTTTAATAAACATGATGAGAAGATCAATTTTCATCTAAAAAAAAAAAAAATTTATAAAATCATAGTATAGTTTTCATAAAATTGCAAAAGAAAAATTGCAAATATAGATATGTTATTTTAAATAATTATTATTACTATTGAGCAAGAAAATTTTGAACAATTTTTTTCTAACTACAAATTAACACGCAAACGCATGGCTTTATGCAATTTGAGTACTGCAAAATGGTCCAAAATATGTAAAAGAATTATTTATTTTTTCTGTTTCAGGATTATATAGTTAATTAGCTTAAGATTTTTTTTTTTCTTTATTCTTATTATATGTTCAAATATATCTAAAACTTTTTTTTCTAAATTTTAATTTTTAAATATAAAATCTCAACTTTTTAGATAAGTGTTAGAATTTGAAGGCCGTTCTAACATATTTTATGTTATAATATCTTGATACAAAAAAAAAATCAAAAAAGGGCTAATTTGACATACATAAGGAAATATCAAATTTAAGGTAAGACAAAATTAAAAATTGTGTTGTCCTCATGATGGATTGAAGAAAATATTGTAGTGCTACAATCTGAATTTAGAAGGAAAATATTTTTTTTTCTTCAAAAAAAAAAAAAAGCAAATTGTTGCTCTACCACCTTTTAATTTTTCATATTTTGTTTGATATTTTAAATAAGTTTGAAAGTTTTTTGTTCATTATATTATTCATAGGTAAACATTCCAAGCCACTAATACATCTACTATCCGAAGGTCAACATCTACTCTCCTATAGTCCTATTATAACATATTTGAAAAAAAAAATGATTTATATAATTTTATTTTAGTATAGTTTTCACAATAAATATCTTTAAATATTTATATTTTACAGATATAATTGTTTTAAATATTGAAAATTTATTAATTTCATTCCATAACATTTATTCTACCAATTTCATATGCATATCTTAATATCTAAATAAAATAATATAACTTCAAGTCATTTAAATAAAATAGAAAAAAAATCAACATATACTGACCCAGTCTTTATCCAAAAAAGATTATGACCATATAATTATAGCTACTCTATGCAATCATCAGAATTCAGAAGTACTATCAACATCATCATTAGTCTATCAACATTATAAATCCTCAATTTTCATACATTATGAATTAATTATTATCTTTGAGTGTTAAATTTATTCTTTGCAAATCAAATCATCATAATCACTATAAACTCATTGATTCCTTACGTAAATAAAAAGCACTTAGCTTAAGATTTCATTTGAGATAACTTTTTTATCGCTTCTTAGTAATTTTTTTATTAGAAAGTTATTTTAAAAAACTGTAAGAAAATCGTCCCACAGTTTTTTGCTGCTTTTCAAAATAGCTTTTCAGTACAAAAATTTCTTGAATTAAAAATCTTTATGCTAAAAAAATTATTTTAAAAAAGCAACAAAAAAATTGTCCCAAACGAAGCCTAAATATCTAAATTTTAAGATGCATCAAATGGTAGAAAAAGAAGAATTCAAGCAGTAAAACGAAGGGCCCAAAGACCACTCACTGTTGAGAGTACATAGTTGACAATCATAGCAGCACAATAATAATAATGATTCTATTCAAAATGCCCAATTCATAAGATGTATAAATTTGGCGAAGAAACAGACAGCGCAATCTTACTCAGCGTCTTCAATTTCTTCGTCTTCTGGCACACCTCGAAGATACAGCACATTGTTGCACCTGGAAGTAAAGATCAGAATAATGCAAATTTAGATTTTGTTTGGCGCAGCTTTTTTACTGGTTCTTAAAACAGCTTTTTAATTAAATAATAATAATTTTTTACAGAAAATTTGTTTTAAGAATCATTAAAAAAGCCGTCCCAAACGAAGCCTTAGTGAATATGATCGCACTCTTGCGTCTATATGGGAAGGCTTAAAGCTTACCTTATCAGTATTTCCCCGAGATTTCCTGAAAACTGGCCATCAATAAATTCTTCAGTGTTTGCAAGCTGCAAGAGTAAAAAGTTTCAGAAATCATTTATAAAAAATTACGACTAGGTGAGTTCAGAAGTAGAACTGGCAACAGTTTTTTGAAGCCAAAGCTAAATACCTGCAAGTTCATGTAGGAATCAACTGAAACAAGAAAGCCTGGAAAAAAGAAGAGATTGTCCAGAAAAAGAGACCAAACCATTAATGGGCAGCAGTTAAAGAAGGTTAGAAGGAGAAATAAAACAAGAAAATACGCACATCAATGGATAGGAAAAGTACCTTTGTATTCCATTCCCCACTTGAGCTTAACAATCACAGGCTTCCCTGTCAGATTGTTCAAGAATGGTTTCGGGTTGACTGGTACAGTCTGCAGGCCAACAGTAAACATCAATTGGCTAGACAGATTTAAAAAAATTAGCGACAGTGGTAAGCAACCATAATATACAGTAAGTTGACTATATGAAATAAGAAACAAAATAAATTATGCACACAGCAAACGAGTATGATAATAATTAGTACAATTCTATAACTATCCGCCATTATTAGAGCAAAAAAAGTGATATCTACTGTTATAGGTTTTGAAAAATAGAGTTACAGAAGAGGATGTAGCTTTTAGAATTGAAGTTAGATGATTAAAATACAGGGGTAAAAAAGCTCAGTTGTTGATGGAGAAATAACTAAAAAGACCAACATGTAAATTTTATTAAACAATTAAGTTGACCACTTTTTATAGATTCGAGTGTTGGGTGATAAATGAAAATTATTCTCTATTAATAGACTAGTTAAATATGACATAAATGCGAATGCAGATAAATGTGACAGAATAATAAATGATAGATAAGGAAATTATTATGTTAAAAGGAATGAGGAAATTGATATTTTAGAAGTAAAAATAATTAACTTGATGGTTCTGGAGGAGTACAATAAAAGATAGAAATTAGGCCAACAAGATAGTAGATAAAATGAAAGTTAAAAGACCGATAAGGATAAGATAAATGATAACAATGATAAAAGTTGTGTGAAAAAAAATATTTGCACATAGATACAACACCTCATGCAGCACTCATAAAAACTGAAAGTTAGTGAGAATTTAAAAAACTAACCTCCAATTGTTGGGATAAGCCTAACGATGATAATAAACTGGTACAATATGCACTGACCAATAAGAAATACTTCACAAGCCAAAAAATTCGGTTGTTGCATTTTATATAACAAAATATGATGTTAAATTAAACTTGTTTGATGTGGCAATTGAAATAACAATTGCCATTCAAACAGCTAGAGGAAAGAAATTGCAGAGAACGGATTTTTTTAATCCAGATTTAGGTGTAGCAAGCATGGTATATTAAGCTTACAGAACACAGTACAAAACTAAATTTGAGTTTTAAGAAATGTTTATACCATATTTAAGCAAAAGATGCCATTAAGATCTTCTGCACAAAATTGCCTTAAAGGTGCAAATGTTCGTGCTCACTTTCCCAAATTAGGCGTCGATTTCAAGAATATTATTAAACTTCTGTTCAACTCATAATGTTAAAATTCACACAAAAAATAGACACGAAACAAAATAATGAAGTTTATAACATAAAATAGACTCATTCATGAGCGTATAACATATGTGAACTAGCGCAGACAAAGAACACATTTGTGCATTAAACTCACAATAGTTTCATGAAGCAGACTCAGAATCACACGAAAGCATCACTATGAGTTTTATAGCAATTATTTGAATTCAGCTTTATTAAATTTATTTTTCATTCATTTATACTGATTGCTGTCTATGATGTTAAGCTTTTTAAATATGGAAACTGAGAAACAGTTGGCATTACAGAGAGAAGATTGCCAGCAATATGGACAAATCCACGACATATTTTAAGCCTACAGAGCATTCAGAGCTAAATTTGAGTTGCAAGATATGTTGAAATCATATTTATGCACATGCCATAAGATGCTAAGAAACAAGATTGACCAAGGTGAAAAACGAGACTTGGTGTCCACCTTTCTGAAATAAGGCACCAGCTTAAGTAGATAATTAAAAAAATTAGTCTACATAATGTAAAAACTTCACACCTAAAACAGACAGCAAAATTATGATTCGGGCATGTTTGGCTCTGCATTTGTTTCTTCTTCCTTGTTTTTTGTTTTTAAAAACAAATTATGTTAGGAAATAATGTGGTTGCCAATTTTTTGTTTTTTATTTTTGGAAATAAATTAGCGTGTCTACAAAAAATTTGAAAATGCCAGAGTTTTCACTGATTTTCAAAACATCTGTTATGATAACAAGAAACAAATACAACAACAACAACAACAACATCAAGCCTTTATCCCACTACGTGGGGTCGGCTGCATGAATCTTTTTTCTCCATTGTGTCCTATTAAAAGTCAAATTCTCGTTTAAATCTAATAAAGAAACAAATACACATCCAATTCATTTTTTTTATGTTAAGCGAAACGGAATAAAAAAGAAACAAATAAAATTGAAAACAAAACACAAACTAACATGTAACATAGAAAGACTTATGTGTGCAAACAAGTCAAACCGGCTCGCGAGATTACTCGAGCACGACTCGATAACAAGCTCAAGAGCCGAGCTTATTAAGCTTCGACCAGTCTTTTGAGCTCGTGAAATAATCAAACCTAGGGATGTCAATTTTTGACACGACCCGAAACACGACCCGAACCGACCCGGAAAAATCCGGGTTCAGGTCAACCCGAACCCGAATCGGGTCGGGTTCGGGTTGAACAAATCAACCCGTTTTAAAAATCGGGTCGGGTTTAGGTTCACCCAGCAACCCGAAATTGACCCGAAAGTGACACGAAAACTCATATTTGACCCTAAAACCCGAGGTCGACCCGTTTTGACCCAATTTTGACTCGATTTTGACCCAAAAATTGAATTTTGACCCGATTTTGACCTGAAAATTAGAAATTTTAGATCAAATTCGGGTCATTCGTGTCGGGTCGGTTTGACCCGGACCCGAATCGGGTCGGATTCGGGTCAGGAAACCTGACCCGTTTTTAAAAACGGGTCGGGTTCGGGTTGACCCGAACAGTCCCGAACAGTGCCGGGTCAGTTTCGGGTTCGACCCGAACCCGACCCGCTGACCTGAATTGACACCCCTAATCAAACCCGAGTTTGATCAAAGTGCTGCTCGACTTGACAGTCCATCGAGCGGGATTAAATGGCCAATCCGCAAAGATGAAATAGATGGTCAAATCAAATGGACGAGAGTTCAGCGGGTTAAGTAATCTAAGGTTTAGCACAACTAGGAAAAGCAAGTAGTGAATGGAGAAAGGCAAATAGGCGAAACTTCTCTCATTCCTTCAGCTTCATTACAGTTTAATGACAGAATCCAGGCTTCCAGTTCCAACAGCCAATGGCCCAGTCTCCCGCAACAGCACAAGCTGAACTTCGGAGAGAAGATTTGCACGTTCTCAAAAATTTGATTGATGTAGGGTTTTGAGTGTTTTTTTATTTTAATTAATGATGTTATTTCATTGTCTTTTTTCCATTTTGCTTTCGTTCTTTATGAAACAACCTGCAATTTTAGCCTTTAATCTACTATATTATGTTTTTTTTAATTAGTATCGTATAAGAAGTTAATAAATAAATATTTATTATCTATTTTATTGGTCTAGGGAGGCGGAAAGGATTTGTCTCATTCAAATTGATCTAGTACTTAGAGAAAACATGGAGATGAGGCTTTGATATATAGTATTTTGCCTTCTAAAGTTGTTTCTATTTTTTAACATGCTTTTGGTGCAGCCATTGGTTTTCTTTTTTTATTTGTTTTCCTTAAAATAATTTATATTGGAATAGTTACTAATGTCATTTGGAAGCTGATTTATTTAACTGAACACTTGTAATTTCAGTATGGGCCAAGTTTAGAGAGTTATAGACCAAAAAAACACATATTTCTTTTATTATTTGGCTTGAAACTGATATATAATTTGTCTGAGTATCTAATGCTCTATTCATTCTTCTTATCAAAATGTTGCATCCATTTTAGCTTTTCAAATTTCTAATATTTCATATTTATTGGTAAACTATTTGTTTCGTGTTTTTTCACATAGGATGTCAGCACTCAGCAGATCCAATTATTGAAGATAATATTAATGAGCATTTGAATTTGAAAATTGTAGAAGTCAGGTGTGCAATCACATAATAAGGGATTGTCTGGATGATGAACAGACCAATGAAAATATAAGTGAAAATCCAATAGATAAAAAAGGGAAAAAACCATCTACAATGTGGGATGAATTTAAAGAGAGAACTTTCATTGACGGACACAAGAAAGTTGAATGTTCTCATTGAAAGAATGCGTGTCTTAAGGAATCAAAAAATTTTGTAGTTCGAACGCAAAAACATTACATATACAGGTGAAAATTCTCAAGAGAGTGAAAATTTAACAACATTCAAGTACAACCAATCTAAAGTTAGGGAGATGGTCGCTCATTATATTTTAATAAATGAAAATTTTGTTCTCAGTTGTGGAAGAGTTTGGCTTTAATTTAATATTAGACCATTTCACTTTATTTTATGTAGTATAGTAGAATAACATCACGAAATGATGTGACGGTGGTGTATGAGTAGAAGAAAAATCTACATTCTGCATTAAAAGGCATAACTAGACTTAGCTTTACAACTTATGTATGGAAATCCAAAAATCAATGAATTTCTTACATGACTGTGAAAGCACATTCTGTGGATTCTAACTGGAAATTACAAAAGTGTATGCTAAGCTTCTCACGTTTACCTCCACCACACAGAATCTGAGATTATCGACGCATTTTATAAGTCAATTGGTGAGTGGGGCATAGAGGACAAAGTATTTATAATATATGTTGATAATATTGAAGGACGAGTGAGAAGGAAGTTATTTTTTGAAGGTAAGATCTTTCATGTGCGATATTGCACACACATTCTAAATCTTATGATGAATGATGGAATAAAAATTGTGGATCAAATTGTTAATAAAGTCCGTGAGTCGGTTAGCTTCATAAATGCTTATGAGGCAAGGTTAGCAAAATTTTATGAAGTTGTTCAACATTTGCAGCTACCAAAAATTAAGCTTATTATGGACTGTCAGCACGTTGAAACTCAACATATAACATGCTTATTGTAGCACCAAAATTTAGGGAAGTTTTCTTTTCTTATAGGGAAAGAGAGGTAGCTTATCATAGTTGTCCTACAGAGGAGGAGTGGGATAATATAGGAAAGGGGTGTGATATTTTGGGGTTTTTTAATGAGGCAACAAATATCATTTCATAATCGGAATACCCAACATCAATTTTGTTCCTTTCAAAGATTTGTACAATTAAAAAAGTATTGGATTATGGGGCACATTCTTTAGATAGTTTTATCATGGAAATGTCAACAAAAAATGAAGGATAAATTTAACAAACATTGGGGTGAGTATAATCTTCTAATGACCTTTGGTGCTATCATGGATCCTAGAATGAAATTTGTTATCATAGAATTTGCATTTCCGATGATCTATAAAGGGGATGAAAGCATAAAAAATATCTCTTACATTTGCAGCTTACATTCGAGTTGCATGAAAAATATGCAGCATGTTTTGAAGAGGAAATAGAATGTGCAGGTGGCACATTCAAGTGGCACAGAATGTTAGCCATTCAAAAGGGTTTATTAAAAAAATAATAGAATAGAAGGTTTGAAAACAAGTAACACTCTGATGAGAGGAAATAGAAACACAAAGAAGAGAAACAACAACACTTATGCTATTTTTCTTTTAGTTTTCTCAAATCATTAAAAGATAATAAACAATAACCAATGATGCTATATGAGGAAATTTGAAAATATAATGCAACAACATTAAGCATTTATCCCACTACGTGGAGTCGGCTATATGAATCTTTTTTCTCCATTGTGTCATGTTAAGAGTCAAATTCTCATTTAAAACTAATAAAAAAATGTCATTTCTAATATTTTCTAGCCAAATCTCTTTAGGTCTACCTTTACCTCTCTTAACATAGGTCAATCTAATACATCTACTCTCCTAACCGAGTCATCGAAGACCGTTATTTTATGTTGCCAAATAAGATGACTCTCTCTAATCTTATATGATATTGGATCCAACCTTTTCACGTATCTGCTCATTTCGCATTCTATCTCTAAGAGTAAAGTCACTCATCTACCTAAGCATCCTCATCTCTGCAACACTTAACTTAATTGTATGCTTCTCTTTTAATGGCCAACATTCTGCACCATAAAGCATTGCAGGTCTCACCACCATCTTATAGAATTTTCCCTTAAGTTTACGGGAGACTTCTCTATTAGGCCATCTTATAGAAATCTGAAAATACAATGACTAAAATAAACTTACCATGAAATTAAATGACTAAAAAAAGGAAATGATAAAATGGCATAAACAAGGAAATGGCATTTAAGTTCAATGGGTATAAACATGATATATAGACAAGGACATAGAGCAATAAAAATTAATGGCACCTCCCTCCCTCTTCTCATAAATACCATTAATTTCTCAAACATGTCATTAAATGCCCATCATTTTTCCCTTTGCCATTACAACCAGAAACCTATGCCCTAAAAATCATTATGTAACATCCAAATAAATTATAATTAAAAAAACTTGTTTCTTATGCCACCCCCCTACTTCATCAAGTCTCAATAATGTTATCTCACTCCGTCCCCAAATCAGATCTTGCCATTGCCATCACTATCATGTGCAGCTCTCATACTTCTTGTCAATGTTGATCGCTAATCTCTTAGCGACTCTCACTATCACATCCCGATCTAAACACCTTTATTTTTGTCTTTTCCCTCTTCCATAATAATTTTTCCTTCAAGCTATTACTGCTTCTCCCACTTCCTTGATTGAATGACAATGTGAAAGCATAACTAACAATATTTGGTTTGATTTAGTTCAGGTTCAACCAAGAGTTGTTGGAATCTAATTCCGAAAATTGAAAACTAATTAGGATAAGGTTGGCTCTCCATTTTTGCTACATCCCATCTAACCCAATCCACTTTGCACCCCCTAGTCTAACATATGAATAAATCAAAAAAATATGCTACATTCTAAGATAATAATAATACAGGCGTAACAGGCATAAAAATATAATATCTATTAATAAATTCCACACTATCCAATATAAAATACAAGAAAAAACCAATGAACCTAGAAAAAAGAAAAGGTAGAAGCTGATTAAGAAGAAATAGCGGGAAGTGTGATCCGTTGCCCTATGATGAAAGAAGATTAAATAGACTAAAAAAATTATAAACAAGGTAAATTATTTGAAATGGTAAAAAGCAACGAAATAAATTAAACATTAAATATAATAAAAACAAATCATAATAGTTTACCACAGTTAAGTATAAATTGTAAACCATATCTCAAAATAAGAATACAGAAAAATGGATTAAGAAACAAATTGCCCAAGAAAAAATTAAGGTGCTCCATTGAGGGGCCTATTTCCTGAGTAAAGCCCTTATGGTCCAACACCAATCAATGAAAGTAAGTGCAACAAAGCAGCTATCACCTAGAAACAAGATGTTCAAGTGATGAAATTTCCTGCTGAAGCAACTGACAACACATTAAGAACCTCAGTAAATATAGGAAAAAGCTCCCTTGGCATGCATCATGAGTTTTTTCCAGGAGAAGCAATAATTTACTTAGGATATTCCTTTATATGAAATTAGTCCAACATCTTCTCTTAAAGCAGCATGGTCTACGGGTGCTATACAATCAGAAGTACAAAGGATGATTGAACTGTTAATATGCATAATTTCATGTAATCTATGAAATAAATAAAAGTATCTGTGAGTTATATAACACCAGCATTAGCCAAAAAACCTGAAACCATAAATAATTACCATGAACAAAGTTAGTTCTGGAATAAAATGGCATAAAGTTCTAGTATAAAATGGCATAAACTTTAAATTTTCATTGGTTAAAAAATAAGGATATCATAGCCAACTGAGAGTTGATTAGTAATGCATAAATGTGTGCTATAACTTTAACTAAAAATAAAACAACATGGCCTAAAAAACGATTTTCCATGAAATTGCGAAAAATATAATTATGTTACACGGTCTCACCCTAATTCTGAAGCTCTAAGGTTATGAATTGATTGCAAGTGGGCATTAAAACTTTGTAATTATAATGCAAGCCTCTTAAGTGGGGGATATAAAATTAAGAAAAAGAATGGTTTACTAGTTCCGCTAATGGTAGTCCTCAAAGACATAGATTTATTCAGGAACTAAGAAAATTTACCTCTGAGATCACACCACACAAGAAAAAATTATAAAGCTCCTCCAATCAAACGTGGTAATCAGCTTGATCCCTAGCTTCAGAATGAGTTAACCCTTAAAGTACCCTCAGATCTTTAACAATGGAGATAGATCTTTTAGATATTTAATCAAATACTGCACAAGCAGCAACAAACACAGTATCAAGTACCAATAAATCTTTCAATAAGAGAACATTCGAATCATATATTTTCCATCAACATTCTTGCCAAAATTTTACAAGCCAAACCATGCACTCTACATATTAAATCAAACAGAGAAAGAAAGAACTTAACAAGAACCCCAAAAGTTAAAGTTTTAAACATAGGCTTGAAGAATAATAAATAAAATGAAAGTAAAATGGGAATATGTTGTAACTAGATAAACTTGAGTAGGGATTTAAAGGTTTATAGCTAAAGATCCCTGGATGAAAAGCCTATTGCAACACCGTGCATTCAATGCTCTAAATAAATAGCTTACTGATTATCCAATTCTATAGCAAACTACACCACAAACTAAGGAAACAGCCTCTCTAGGGTAAAACAGTATAGGAAAGGCAGTATGCACTAACCATTGGATGGAGCTTCAAGCATCAGATGCGCAAATTTTTTAACCATATTAGCAGATGAACTTTTAAGTGGACTGGACTTGTATTTCAATCCTAATTTACAAGGACTAAAATGGCAGTTTATTCTACAGTTTGGACAGTATTACATCAAGATTTATCTTCAATTTAAAGATGAAAACATGTTCATTTATGCTCTTTAATGTCCTTATATCAGTTGGTTCACACTAAGCGGCAAAAAATGTACTATACTGGAGGTCTCTCAACATGCATTTATTACATGGTAGCTTCTAAACTGTCAGCATAAGCAGCGGCATGCACACTATTTCAGAGGCAGGATTCTGGCTCAGGTAGCCTTACTTCAAACCAATATTTTCTATCAAAGAGCACCCAAACAAAAAGATTAAAATATAGCATCACAGATATAAAACAACTACAGGATAATCTACAAATAAAGTGAGTAGCAAACTGTTAACCCTGTATTTCTCTTCTGTTTCTGAACTCAGTTAGAAAGTATTTAGTGAATAACAAAATAAGCTTTTGACAAGATGATCTGATGACTGATGTGTTAAACATTACAGAAATGTGATATTATCAAAATCTACATTCCGTAAGTCTGGCTAGAATTCAGCCAATAAATGTATAATTCAAGAATGCGTCGTAAGAGATCAAATACGCAAAAGAAAAAAGTGCGCCTGAGTGAAAATTGTGATTATCTAGTCCAAAAGAAATAATTTGGACCTTAAAACAGTAAAAGACAACAATTTTTCACTGTTTTCAAAACAAGAAGCATGATTAATAGCTTTCTTTGTAGGCTGCAGCAAATAGTACTCGATAAATACCTTGAGCACCGTCGGAACCACAACTCACCACTAAAATGTTCCAAAATCCACAATTTCAAAAAGGAACTGAAAGTGTTATAGAGGGTTCGGCTATGATAATCTTCATTGTTAACATCAAATGACACATGATTCCATATTTTCTATATCTCTTCTACACGATTAGAAAGACTGGGGTGCATAGAAAATTTGCCATTTCTCAGATCATCACCACTCTGCTTGAATGCCGTCATATATTTGAATTTATGCTCTTTTGCAGAGAAAAAAAAACTAAAACAAGAAATAACTTGCGTGCAAAGCATTTTCCTAAAGTTAATGTCAACACCTCTACTGTAGATCAAAAGAATTACAACATATGCCCTAAAAATAGAGAGAGCATAAAATCCATTACCAAGATTCTCGAACAAGAGTTGAAGGGAAAGAGCAAAAGAAACAGAGGACGGGGAAAACACACACACACATATTAGAGAGAGAGAGAGAGAGAGAAACTGACCGCCATTAGAACCTAAAGGAATCGTTAGGCTGCGCAAGTGGTCTAGGGAGCAACCACAGCTTGATAGACCACGGAGCTTTCCTTAGCGGCGGCCGATCGCTAACCTGACTTGCTGACTATCGCGAGCGAAAGGGCGAGTTATGTGCGAGGGTTTAGCGAAGGAGGCGCAAAGGAGACGCGCCCGGCAAATAAATGTATTAGCGCAGGAGTTTTATTCGAGGTAAACCGCCTTTTGTCATCAAAAATTGTATTATAATTTTATATTTTATCTTTTACTAAACGCAAAACAGCCCTTAAGGAAAAATAATCAAAAAAAATTTGTCACATATATGTTGTAAAATTTATTAATAATTTTTAATTTTATAATATATCTAAAAATTGGTGATTTAATGCATATAATTTTTAATATAAAATTTTAATACTTTACTGCTTTATAATATTTATAATTATTTTGATACTTTACATTAAAAAAAAAATACTATCATTTTTTTACATTATATTATGTCCAAAGTTTTGTTTTTTTTTTTTAAGGCACTGATGATTTTAGATTTAAGCTTCTTTGGGATATTGTTTTTTCACTATTTTTAACTAATTTTATATTAAAAATTATTTTAAAAAAATAATAAGAAAGTCATCTCAAATGAAGCTTAGTTATATGCTCACTTTAGGTTTTAAAGTGTTTTGATAGATTATTAAAAAAACATATATTTTAATTATATTGAGTAATTGAAGTGAATGTTTTTTAGTAATGATATATTGCTAAGAAATTATCTTAATAGGGTACGAACCTTAATGCAAAATATGAGTTGGAAGCTTCCAAAATTAAAATTGGGATCATCCAAATTTCAATTTCAGCAAATTTACAGCCAATTTGAACATATCAAAGACATCAAAATCAGTCAAATATAATCCCAAATGAGCTCAAATCAAAGGATCAAAGCCTACTTGAAAGCTTCAAAGCATCATTTGGATGGCCAACTATATTCGAATATGACATGCTTATAGTCATATTGAGCGGCTCGACGAGATGAATCCAATGAGCATAAGATTGCTTAATGTTGATATCATTAAGGCATATAAATGCTCCGTATTAACGGGAATTAATATGGGTCATCCGATGAAACACTTCAAATTTGCCCTGAATTTTTTCATATTTATTGAGTATGCCACTTCCAAAAAATTATAAATAGATTCTCATTCTTCACATAAAGGGGGAGAAGATGAGGAAGAAGATAAAAGCTATGGGGCTTGAAGAATCCTTTAGCTCCACCCCAGCACCACCGCCAATGAATATGCCTCCAAGCCTCCACAATTGAACCTCTGGCTGACTATCATCGATGGTCATGCATTTGGCAATCAATGACGATCCTTTATCTGACCACTGTCATCAACTACGATTATTCTAACCACCGTCACCCAACTACGATCCTTCCAACCTTCATCATTTGTAAACTATGGTCCCTCTGACATTTATCACTCAAATACAAATCTATCATTTCTATGAACAAGCCAACACTCTCTTGATGGCAACTCTCATATCATTAGATTATTCAAATTCTAACCATGTAATGTGCTCCACAAAATGCATATATTCTATATTGAGTCAACACCTGTAATAATTTGAAATTATTTTAAATATTTTTTTAAATAAAAAATCTAAATTTTAGCATCGTGCCTTGTGGAAGAAGAGAGAGAGAAAAGAGAGAAGAGAGAGAAGGTTGCTCGGGACTTTTTAATCTTTTAATTTTGATCATAGATTTTTTTCTATTTGTTGCAACTTAAATCTCATTTTAGTTTTCAATTATTTTGATTATTATATAGATTTTCTTGTGTTGAACATAATTGATTATTTCTTACTGGATTTTGATTGT